ATTTGTTATTGCCTTTATCCCAAGTCCCTAACTGAGAACCTTGTCCTTTTTAAATCTATCAATAAAATGTTATTTTCTGTTTTTCCTCTTTTGTCATTTCAGTTACCATAGCTGTCATTTTTCAAGATGCTAACTATGCTCCTCAGAGACCAAAACAGAAAAAGAGAGACCTTGAAATAGAATGTGTTAAGCGCCTTTGATTTAATCGATTGGGACAACTACAAAGATACAAATGTTTTTCTTGTTGAAAGGTATATTAATGTTTCCTAAATGTGTTGCTTATTAACTGATTTATTCCACGACCTATAAAAGGCTTGGGATGTTTAGCCATAATTTATCGTTTTCTCTCTCTCTCTCTCTCTCTCTCTCTCTCTCTCTCTCCTACATTAAAACCAGCACCTTAAAGATTGGAATCTCCAGGATTCCAGCCGGTTGGGCCCAGCTTTTAGATATTGAAATCTCGGCAGTGGCATGCAAATGACACTTTAACACATTAAAGTATTTGGAAACCAGCCATCTGTTTTGCTGTGTGGCCTTACACTAATAAACAAAAGATACTGTATAAGGGAGGGGGGATGAAAGAAAGAGTTGGCTCACTTTGAAGTTCTCACCCATCCACTTGAATCTTTTAGAAGCAACCCCAGAACCCAGGAGCCGAGGGAGGGCACAGGGTGCCCTTGATATGGCCGCAGCAACTACGCCTGCAAAGGCCAGGCTTTCCCCCTTTGACCGGGAGGTACAGGAAATCTCATAGGTGCTCTAGGAGGCCTGTGAATTTCACGTTTTTGTAGGATTCCCTCCCCCAGACTCCCAGCCCATCCTTTGTAAAACAGCCTTTGGAGAGGAAGGAAGTCATATGTCTGTATTTGTTTGTGATGCTGCAAATGTTCTGCTTTGCCCTGGGGCTTACTTAAAGCCTCTAAAATTGTGTGAAAGTGAAGGAAAATTGGTAAGCAGTGTAGGAGAGCCACTTGGAACTCTTTGATTTGTTGGCTTCCTCTGTTGGAGAAACACATGTCTTGGTTGGAAGCAACTTGAACAGTGAAAGACTTCAGGGCGGCTTCCACCAGTTATCCTGGAAGAACCTGTTGAGCCCAGAGAAGAAAATCACTACTGTTTTCCAGGGTTATGTGACATGGGATGAAGAACTGAAGACCCATTACAGCCAAGATGGCTGTGAAATCAAATCTTAATGTGATGGGAATGAGATGTATAACTTAGAGGGGATGGTAGGAGGTGGAGGGTGGCAGGAAGGGATAGATAGGCAGGAAGAATGGGAGGAGGGATGTAAGGGTTTACTGAAAACAGACCACACTCAATTTAAAGGGTGGAATATATTGGAGTGCCTACAATCCAAAAAGAAGGAAGAAGGGTGGGCTGGGGTCCCCATCCTCAAATAGCTTTATACTGGAGCTAATTAAATGTGAATCTCTTAGTTCTTGGTTCACTGATGTGAGGAAAGACTGACTGAGGAGTTTCAGCTTTTAAAGGGGGTTCTGTTTATATATACGTCAGCATTCAGTTGGAGGTGAAAAGGTTAGCACTTGACCCAGGAAGTACCCATGTTTGTTTCAAAAATAGAACTGCTTTATAAAATTCTTCACCATTTTTTCCATTATGAACTTTGATTATAATAAGGGGACTACTGTTATTTTAAAGAAAATCAACCTATGATAGACATTGGTTAGGTGCAATTACCCTCTTAGGGGAAGCTTCAATTACATAGTGGAAAGCACTTCTTTTTTTTTTTTTTCAAAGAAAAGTCCCATCTCTTTGAAAATGCACACCGTCCTTCCCTCCTTCCCCACACAAAATGACTCAACTTTGTAAGAACCAACAAACTGTAGCCAAGCCAAATACACGGATCCTTAAGCATACCTGAAACTTGAATATATTTATTACAGACATCTTAAGACCCGTAAACTCTGCTCTGGATCACATCACTCCAGGATCTCAGAGCTGTTCATGATTGTACAGGAAATGGGGGATACTGTGGGCTCACAAAGGATAACTGATAGAACTCAGTGTGGTACTTCAGGGACACCAAAACATTGTGCGACATGCAAGAGACTATTCACGAATCACACAAAATATACATTCATTGTGCCATCCATCACATTAACAACTGAGCTGAAAATACATCCTATCCAGCTAAGATAACTGAGGAAGGAAGAGGCTGGTTTGACTAATACCTTTAGGTTCTGAATAATCCAGCACGAAGTTTAAATAGAGTGTGGCCAGAGAAACAAGAAAGGGGTTAGGGATGGGGAGAGACTGAAGCACAGGCAGCAAGGTTTCTGAACCTTGTGGTCTGCAGGCCTTCTTAACTCACTGAAAGAACAAATTGAGGCTACCCTCCGAGGCATCTGATTGAGTTTAAATGAGGGCTTTTATTTTTAACCTATCATCACATATAAAATTGTACCAGCTTTGAGAGTTTGCCCACCCTGTTTGAATCACTTAATCTAAACATTTCTAGAAAATCTGTATAAAGATAAATCTCTCAGGACAAAGTATTTACAACCAGCAAACTCACACACAAGAATGAATTAAATTAAAAGGTGAATTCATTGTGTAAACACGCCCATAGTGCATCTCTTCTCATGAGCTCCTGGACTCTCTCCTTTCTCTTTACCCCACTTTGAGGACAAAGTAGGGGAGTTCTGTAAATCTACAGATAGATAAAAGATGGGAGGACTCCCTTTGGCATGTTTCTGCTGGCAAAGGAGACAGTTCTCCAAAGGGCATCTAACAGGAACAGTAGGTTCTGTGGAAATCTCCTAAAAGTAGGGGCCCTCAGAAAATTGGTGCGGGCACCCCATCTGCATTAAGAAGTTAACACACACACCCCTCCCTCCCCAATCAAGCATCTAGTCCAGAATTCTCAGTAAACACATTATCCTGCCCAGGAGCGTCCCAGATAGGATCAGAAAGAAAGAGAGAGACTGCAAATGGAAAGGAAGATAAGCTAAGAATGTGCTTTGAGTAAGAAGTCCCAGCCCGAGGAGTCAGAAGCCTGGGCCGCGGAGTGGAGTTTGGGGCTGGGCCGGCCTCAGTGGGAGGTAGTCAGAGTGTCGGAGGTAGAGGACCCCGGGGAAGGAACGCAGGGCGACGAGCTGGACTTCTCTGAGGACTCCTCGGCCTTCTCCTCGCTTCCCGGCGGGGTGGCGGGAGAGATGGGCAGGAGGCCCTCCTTCTCTCGTTTCTTCTGCTTCATTCGGCGGTTCTGGAACCAGATCTTCACCTGGGTCTCGTTGAGTTGCAGGGACGCGGCGATTTCCACCCGGCGGGCGCGCGTCAGGTACTTGTTGAAGTGAAACTCCTTCTCCAGCTCCGTGAGCTGCTTGGTGGTGAAGTTGGTGCGCACTGCGTTGGGTTGCCCCGCGTAGCCGTACTCTCCCACTTTCCCTGGGGGGGAAGCGATGAGAGAAAAAGGTAAATATTTAACAATCCATAGGAAAGCCCCTGTAGGTTCAGAGCAATATTCAGGTAAGGGGGAGATCGAGAATTTCTCCACACACCCCGGGCTGGAGAGGGTGAGTGATGAGGTGTAAAGTGTTCATCTGAAGTCAACCATTAGTGTGGTCAGACCGGTGATGAATGGAGCCCAGAGATATTACCAGCACAGCCCCACGCACGCACACCTACCCACTTCCTACTTCCAGAGTCTCTCCAACTCAGCCCCTCTGCAAACACCACATTCCCAGGGGCTCCTTCGCCTCAACACACACCTGGGCAATCCCCCAATGCCCTACAACACCGGTGGGAAGCAAGTATTTTTTAACGACAATTTATTAATTGTCCTTGGAAACTAAGCATACTAACTCCTTCCAGAATCATCACGGAGCATCCGCGGAATGGCAAGACTGACCTGTTTTGGGAGGGTTTCTTTTGACTTTCATCCAGTCAAAGGTCTGCGCTGGAGAAGAGGTCTCTGGTGCCGGGGAGCGACAGGCTTCTTGGTGGCTGGCGTGGAGAGGGGACAAGGAGTTATTATACGTGGCCAGGGCCAGGCTCTGGTGCTCTTGTCCATATGAGTGGTGAATGTACTGAGGCGATCCCACCGCGCCCCCGGCATAACCCTGGTGGTGGTGGTGATGTTGGACCATGGGAGATGAGAGGTTTCCAGAGTAAACAGCGGGAGCGCACGAGGGGTACCCCCCACTTACTTCTGCTTCCTGATTTAACGTGTACGGGCTGTAAGGCGCGCCGAAGTTCTGCGCGCCATAGCTTGGACCACAACTCGAGTGGGAGTAGGACACCCCCAGGTTCCCAGGAGTCTGGTAGGTGGCCGGCTGGGGGTGGTGATGGTGGTGGTGGTGGTGGGGCGAGTTGATCTGCACCCCCCTGCCCACTAGGAAGCGGTCGTCGCCGCCACAGCTGTTGGCACTGACCGCGCACGACTGGAAAGTTGTAATTCCATGGTCTGCGGGATAGGCTCGCGCGGAGCAGGTCCCCGAGTCGCCCCCGCTGAGGATGGGGTATTCCAGGAAGGAGCTCATTCTTGCATTGTCCATCTGTCACTGAGTGACCGGGTCCTGCGAAGCCCTAGGTGACCGTGCCAACTTTCTCACTTCCTCCATGGGGCCGGAGA